GCTGAACTCTCAAGTCAGTGCTACCACAACATCAGGCAGCGCAATATGTAGCTCTGTTTTTTATCATTTCTGTACAGCCAGAAGGCTGAGACCATTCCTTTTGGATCTGGACCCTGCCAATGTCATCCATGTCAATCCACAAGATTAGATACTACAATGCATGCTACATAGGGCTACACTATTCAGCTTTCAGGAACCAACTGCAGCTGCAAGTTGAGCATCTCTCCGCCTGCAAGCCATTCATTGTCTACACAAGAGACAGCCCTTCTTCCTGTGCCACACCACCAGAGTAGAGAGCAGCGGAGGGGCTCAGGCTAGAGCACCTCTAGAACAAACAGGAAGTGACTGCCGGCAGGGCCCCACAGATTTGGAAGTCTCTCTCCCACCTTGGTCCAAAATAGCCCAGATCTGATGACCACCCTTCAGGACACATTGCAAGGCTCGTCTTTTCCCAATTTCAAAATGGATGTGGGGGATGGAGGCAGGGATTAAAAGGGTGGTGAACTGCTGAATGAGGAGGGGAAACTTGAGCTTTTAAACCTGCTTGGCTTACTGGTGGTAGGTTCTACTGAACTGTACTGCTGCTCTTACAGGATTGTCTCCGGTGTATTGTGACTTATGTCAGGCACACCCAGATCATATGGACAGATGCCCTTTTCAGTACTTGTACAAACCTAAATAGATTTATCAAATAAATTTACCATAACTAACAGCCTACTGGATATTGCTCCAGCACTGCTCCATTTTGCTATCTAATATATTTCACATTCTCTTTTATTGATTATGTAAGAAAATAATTTGTATTGTCCACAATTCTGTTTTCCTCAGATTAAAAAAATTATTCACTAAGATGTTAGAAGGAAATACACTATGTTGGGTATCTATGATTTACATTTTATCTATGTTCTTTTACCAATGGGAGCCATACTTCTACAAACACCACCACCACATTGCACTTTTCCAACACCTTGCATCTGAAGATCTCAAAGCTGTCCTCAAGCATTAAATGAGCCTCACAAGATGCAGTGAATAGTGTTACCAAACTCCTGGTGTAAACTGAGGCACAGAAAAAGTTAACCAATTTAGCCCAAGTAACATTGAGTAAATGGTGGAAGTAGGAGTAGAATTCAGAAGTTGTGATTTCCAGCCCTCTGTTTTTGCACACTCCCTTTCTATACACTGTATGCTATGTGTTTTATTTTAAATATCTCATTACTTCGTGCCTCATGCTGCAGTTGCTCCATACCCAGACCCCCCTTGAAATCAGTGTGAGAATTTGCACGGGGTGACTGCAGCATCAAGCCTTTACTTATTCTGTACAGTATTAAGGTAATTATAAGGATCATAGTACTATGTTTTCTGATGTAGTCATCTCTATGTTTAGCTGTTCCCACTGTTATAAGATGCACTGTAGGATTGTTCATTACGGAGTTTGAATTCAGCTGTACGTTGTGCCACGTTCTCCTGGCATGTATGGGGCATTGGGCCAGCAGTAGTGGAAAATCTGCTTGGAAGTTACTGCAGGAGACCCATACTTCCTATTCCCTTTGAGACTTCATAGCTAACTAGCAGGGTCCCAACACTGGACAGTAGTGACTGGAGAGGGGGTGTTGGCAGGGCATCTCAGGAATGCATTGTTTCAGCTCCTCAGTCGGACATCCTCAGCTAATGGGGCTCCTGTGGCAGTCTGACCACTCATGAGGAAGAGCAGCAGTGAAAACACAATCTGCCACCCCCGGCATGTAATTTTGTGGTGTGTCAGGGGTAGGAGGTTGCTTGTTTGTTTTCTTAATCAGGACATCCCTCTTTTAAAGCTTTACCTTCCCACTTGAATGCTGCCCAGTCATATTGTATCTATAAGGAATACACTAAAAGATTGAATGTAAGAAGTAATATCAAAGAGAGAGAAAAAAAGGTTTCTCCTCCCATTCAAACAAAAGCCAATTAGGTATCCAAAGTTAGATCTACAACTGGTATAAATAGAAGGTACCATGAAGGGGAGGGTAAATTAGTTAGTAAATGAAATAGCCTGTTGCTTGCAATAAAGACTTAATGTCAACACCTAGAGCTGGTCGGAAAAATGCAACTTCCATATTCCGCCATTTCAAACGACCCCTCAAAATATAGATATTTCCTGCAGAATGAAAATTCCAAAAAATTTCAGTGTGAAACCATGGTTTGGTCTGGTTTGGTTCTATAAGTGTTGAAAGATGATAATATAAAATATTAAAATATTTTAATAGAAAAGTTTACATGAAATAAAAAGGAATGAAAATGTCAAACCATTTTACCTTATCAAAACAAAATTAAAAAGTCAAAATGATTAAAATTAAGCTGAAATGTTCCTACAAAACATTTTGCTGTAATTACATTTTCTGACAGAAAACTGCTTGGTCAAATTTTTTCAACCAGCTGTATGAAGAGCTGTCAGTTGTGTACAGCAATATTGTGGATAGACTGTATTAACTCATGGCAATTGTAAAAAGAGGTTTCATTTTCAAAGTGCTTGAAGTACTCTAACTAGTCTTTATAGTATCTCTTTACATAATTAGTAATAATATTCTCATTTTCTTGTTATGGAAACAAACTAGGTACTTCAGTTGACACCTAACTTTAGGCACAGGAGCAGTCCAGTTGACTTCATGTTCTTAATACTAGGTTTCTTGTTTACATTCTTTCCTGAATCAGGGTCATAGAGAGGCTAAGGCAGGGGTGGGGATTCTTCTTTCTATCAGGGGCCACTGACCCTCAGAAAAAATCAGTCGCAGACCACACACAGCCCTGGGGGCGGGGCGGAGGGGGGGGCTTCCTCTAGGCTCTGGGGTAGGACCAGAAATGAGGAGTTCAGCATGCAGGAGGGGGATCCGGGCTGGGGCAGAGGGTGGAGGTGCAGGAGGGGGTGAGCACTCTGGCTGGGGGTGCAGGCTCTGGGATGGGGCTGGGGATGAGGGGGCTCCAGGCTTGGGCCAAAGGGGTTGGAGTATGGGAGTGGACTCAGGCAGGAGGATAGGGTGTGGGCTCTGGGAGGGAGTTTGGGTGCTGGAGAAGGCTCAGGGCTAGGGCAGTGGGGTACAGGTGGGGTGCAGGAGGGAGTTCCAACCTGAGGCAGGGGGTTGGGGTGGGGGTGGAGATGCAGGGTCTGGGAAAGAGATAGGGTGCAGGAGGAGGTTCCAACCTGGGGCAGGGGATTCGGGGTGTGGGTTCTGGCTGGGTGGCGCTTACCTCAGGTGGCTCTCGGTTGGCGGTGCAGCAGGGCTAAGGGAGGGTCCCTGGCTCCGTGCTGCTCCCAGAAGTGGCTGCCATGCCCGGTCCCTAGGTGGAAGGGTCAGGGGGCTTTGCGCAGTGCGTGCTGTCCGTGCACACAGGCACCGCCCCCGCAGCTCCTATTGGCCATGGTTCCCAGCCAATGGGAAATGTGGAGCCAGCAATGGGGGCAGGTGCAGTGTGCGCAGAGCTTCGCTGATTGGCCCTGCTCCTAGGGGCCGCATGGACATGCCAGTTGTTTCCAGGAGCTGCGTGGAGCTGACCGTACTTTTAATGGCCACAGATTCCCCACCCCTGGGCTAAGGCCTGTCCTTGCAAGCTGGGTGTGTGCAAAAATCCCACTGGCTTCAACAAGAGTTCCATGAATACAGGATTTGAAGGATAAGGCCTTAGTATGAATGACTTCCTCAAGCTCACAAAAGGCCTGATCCTCCTCCCAGTGCAAAGCTCCCAATGAGTTCATTGGTGAAGCTCAGACTCAAAACACATTAATGGCAGATTAGAAATGATGTGTTCTTGTCCCAAGCTCAGTCCTCTAGATCAAAGTGCCTCTCTCTCTCTCTCTCTCCTGTGCAGGCACTTATGACTGTATGGTATGTGAACACCTTTTACTATCTTAGCATTGGTTTATTTTCATAGATCATTTTAATTACCACAGACATACTGCTTCTGTGTCAATATTTCCTGAAGCATCACCTTCCAGAGTCAACAGCAATGTTACTACTGTTCATGACTTTATTACAAATCTCACAAAGTTTGTCTTGAAGCCCTAGCTCCTGGCATCAGGTGATTAAGTGAAGATCTCCACTTTCTTTTTAAAACAAACAAACAAAAAAGCCGGAAAATGTGTACCCTAAAGGCTCCTACACAAGAAAGTAAATAAACCCAAAATGTTTTTTTTTTTTTAAATCTCATGATTTTTAAGCCATTCACATGGTTTGGGGGACCTGATTCATGATTTTTGAACACTTGGGGTTTGGGAATCCTGCATCAGGACTCGTGGGAACAATATCAAATTGCACCAGATTGGTAGCCCAATATTATTATTACTATTCATTGATTGTCACAATGAAAACAACCGCCTAGGTCCCTACCCATAGCTCTTTTTGAAATCTGTCCTATAATGCATGAATCAGGAGAAATAACAATAACGAGACACGGGATATTAAAAACTACCAGGTAGTTGCCATCTGAAGGCAGTACTGCATTGTATTTTCTCTTTTCTTAATTCCAAATTTTCCTTTACAGGTAAGACTAACATCAGCCAGCTCAGAGAGATTTTCCAAACCTAGGAATTCACTCTTCAGAGACAGCAGTCACCTTCTTCAGGTTTTACTGAAGTACAAAAGACAGCTATAGAGCCTTGTGCAAGATGCGGAGGACCCATTTTGGAAGTCTGTGAGTTAAAGAAGTTGACTGTTAATTCTTACTGAATTGGGTCTCAAGGGTTACTCAAGTGAGTGTTTGTTCCTTTGTATCTCTGTACATCTGTATATTTTATGTCATGTTCCCAAAAATATCCATTTCTGATAGAATATAATATTAAGGGAAATTATTCTATTTTTAATCTACGCTTAATAAATGGAACAAATACCCAGCTCTTTTGCTATTTTTGACATTATCTTACTGAATCATTGCTATCCATTGCTGATGCTGTTCTCACAAGTCAAGTCAAAAGAAACAAGACTGTGTTAACTAACAGGAAAACAGACATGCTGGTTCAAAAGACCACTGACCTTTGCAGCTTGTTGTACGGTGAAAGAGTAGTGAAGGTGGTGGACCTTGTTAAAACAAAGTACAAAATCAGAGCTCAACAGCACCACCATCATACAAAACATTGAAATGAATATATGAACAAAATCTAACGCAGACTCAGAGGTAGTTTGCCATAAGACACTTTGGCTATTTGCTACAATAAACACAAGCTGGATGATTTAGAGACATTTGGATTTGTTAGCACATTCTTTGTAAAAGTACAGTACACCCACAAAATATTATGGATGCTTAAGTTGTCAGTATGTTGCATGTATTACTTGAACATCCCACATGCTTTATCTGCTGTACCGACTCATATGAAAGCTTAAGAATTATTAATTGCTCATTTGGATCTTGATCCTTTGAGCTGCTGAGAGCCTCCTGTGAGGTGATGAGCACCCTCAATTCCATTTGACGTCAGAGCACTCAGTGTCTGGCAGGGTTAGCTTCTAATAAATTCACTTTTAAAATAATCAGTGTACATGTTATGTAAACATTTGACTATTAAAATGACAGTATATACCACACAATGGGATCCATATTCTAATAGTTAACATTAAAACCAATAATATCTTCTACATAACACATCTTTGCTACCTCTAAGTTAATTTATATTTTAATTAAATAAGTATGAAATGAAATATTAAGATTAATTATTGTGTATCTATGTTAAATGACATTTTTTAAACAGGTAAGAAGTTAGGTTAGAAGTAAGGCTGGCTGGATAACACAACCACCATTCCATTTTGTGAACATTTTTGAGGTTTCCACATTTATTTTCATTCCACAAGAGAAAGAAAACGAAGACCTTTTGACTCTTGGTATGAAAAGAAAAAAAAAAAGTGAGTGAAAGAGACCCTAGAACAGCCAAAAGCCCAATGGTTAGGGCACTCACCCCGTATATGGGAGACCCAAGTTCAAGTCCCTGTTCTTCCCAATTTGGAGCAGGGACTTCACTGTGTGGCACTCCCACATCTCTGGCAAATGCCCTAGTGACCAGTCTATTGGCTATTCTGGGGTGGGGTGGGTCGGTGTCGGTCTCACTCTCTCTCTCTCTCCTGCACCCAAGAAACCTTCCCAATCAAGTCTTTATTGAAACTTTATTCATGGAAACATATTGGTTTAGACAAAACAGCATTCTTCAACAGGAAACATTTTCATCAAAAATGTTTCAACCAGCTCTAGTAGTTGGAAATATTAAAAGAGAAAGGATCATCTTCCCTACGCTATTAAGAAGGCAGAGAACAAAACAAAGTTCCTCCCAAGTTTTGCTTATTAGGAATGGCCTTTTATGAATTGACACAATTAAACCATCAATATCTATTTCTTAAAATGACTCAGTCCTATCTATTAGGGTCCAAGTCTTCAGACACTCACAGCCAGATTCTGCCATCTTTATCCAGGAGTAATTTATTCTGCAAGTACTCACATTGAAGTCAATTGACTTCTCGTGGAGTAAGATACTACTTAATGAGAGCAAGGCTAGCAGGATCTGGCCTAGAGTAACAATTGTAGCGCTTACTGCCATGAGTAATCCCAGAGATTCAAGTCACTCTTGATTGTAATGGAATTATTGACAATAGTGACAATAATATCTGGTATTGTGTGTTAGCATGATTGGACCCTTACTTGTGATTTTGATAGAAGGTTCTGTCCCTAGGTGAGCTCCATTTTTATGGCTATCCCAGATAGCCTATATGGGTGGCATGCTCTGGATCCTACTTTTATTGAATCTCATTATGAGCATCTGTATATTTCCATTGCCTTGTGACACAAATCCTGGGATCTGAGGAAAAGCCTCAGACAGAGGAAGCGTGGAACTGTATGTATACTGTGTAACTGGGAACCTAAATAAAATGTAATCAAACACCCAACTCTAAAGCTCAGTTAAGCTCCATTTAATTTAGTTTACTGATGTCCCACATCTGCAACCCAGTAAAGTTCACAATTGTTACTGTGCACAGCTGTGGTTTAAAGCCTCTCTTTGCACACAATACACTGGCAGCAAAGCAAAAACAATTAATTTTTATATGCTTTTAACATATGGATCAGACAGTCAGAAGTAGGAAAGCCTCTTGTGTTCTAAAAAGAAAATATATAGCTTCTATTAACTTGACCCAAATTCTTAGAAAATGTAAGTTCTGATTCATCTTTAAGTAGAGAGATTATAATTATAATGGCTTTGTTTCGGATTCATTTGATTTAAAGTGCCTGTAGTTATCTTTTAATAGGGAAAATATATGACACAAAAGTCCCATTATAAATAGATTTTATTATGAGATAAATTAATAAATTGTAAAATGTTTGGAGTCTTTTGTTCTGTTGTGATCTGTGGAATTAAAAGGAAAAAAAAAACAACCTTTAAACCTAAATGGAAACACATTTCATTTCAGTGAATAAACACGATGTACACTAAGCCAAGGACCCAATTCTGCAAACACTTATCACCAGGCAGAGTGCTTGTACTCAATGGGATTACACAGTAATAAGCACTACAGGTAAAATCCTGACTCCACTGCTGTCAATGGCAAAACTCCCATTGACTTCAATGGATCCAGGATTTCACTCTGTGTATTGAAGTGAAAGGATTGAAGGATTGGAATCCAAAAGAATCTAGTTATTTTTCACTATTTCTGATTGTTCAGTAGGTATCATTTGCTGTCAAAAATATAGATAATTTATACAGAGACACTGTATATTAAATTGGAAAATTGCCAAGTTAAATTGATAACTGCAAATCATTTAAAAAAAAAGTCAGTCCAGCCCCCATTGAATTCAATGTGGCCAATATTTCACCTGGTATATTTAATGAAAAACAATACTCTTTAAAAAATAAAACCCTATTACTCCATCTTTACACACTACATAGGAACCAAAAAAGGTTCAAACACAAACATTTCCTCCCCTCCTTCCCAGGTCACTATTAATGCTAAAAAGGTTGCTCGTGCTTTTTTTAAAAAGCGTGTATGATTTGTTGTTAGGGGACTGTCACCAGATTTCTGCTAGTTGATTACGGCTGAGAAAGCAAACAGAAGACCCAAACTGCAGAGAACTGGATGTAGGCCTCTTCAGAATCAGCCGTGGGACTATTAGCTGAACCTTTGCCATCCAGCAGAGGCAATTGTCCCCTAACAACTCATTCTACAGTATAGAGCTTATAAAAAGAGATAATACATTATCTTGAAGATAAACAACAGTGGGAGCTATGGAGAATCATGGATGATGGCACAGTGGCAACAGACCAATGGGTGTCCCTCAGGAAAAAGAAGTTTCTTCTGAGACCGTTCCATGATTTTAGAAAGTTGGATGCCATGGATGTTGGAATCACATATTAAATCAGGTGTTGTGACGCTAGACCATGCACAGTGAATCCTCAATTCAAGACCAAAAGAGTTGGGGCACTCATGAGCATTGAACACAACAGGAAAACAAAATTATGCAAGTGTGGACCAAGAAACAAATACCATTAGGGAAGCAGAAAATGAGTTCCCTCTTCTTCTGGGCTCATAAAACAGTTATCATAGGATACCATGGGAAGAGTCTCCAGTATGCCATTATCTGTGTGCCACCCTGTTACTTTTAAATGATTCAAGGAAGACACTCAGAGATGGTCCTTCCATGAATAAGGATGAAGAAATATTTAAAAGATTTCCCTTGCCATAATGTAATCCAGACAAGTGCACAAAATGGCAGGCAAGTGACTAATACACATTTTTTCTTTAGGGGAGCAGGATTGCTCAGGAACCTTTAACAATTAATGTTGGAAAATGGTCTCGGTAAGACTGTGCTGTGGACAGCAAACTTTGCTTTCCCATCACAGTAATTATTTCTTCCCTGTCAACACCTGAAACTCTTGGAAAATCAAAATATTGCTTTGTTAGTTGTTATGACTGGTTTTCCTAGAAGGGATCTGACATTAACTTCCAAAACACCAAAAAAGCAGCTCAGTTCAAATTTCCAGCCATTTCTCACACAAAAACTGTCTCCAACTGGTCTGCAGAACCTGAGAGTCTAACACCATCCAAAACACAGGGTGTACACAGCAGCTGAGAGTATGCCTCCCAGTGCAGGTAGACAGCCACAGGCTAGGTCTGCTGGAGCTACTGTGCTAAAAATAGCAATGTGGCTGCAGAGGCACAGACAGGGGATCATGCTAGCCACCCAAGTATAATCCTGCCTGACCCACTGAATACATACTCAGGTGGCTAGCCTAAGCTTCTACCCTTGCCACCATGGCCGTGCTGCTAATTTTTAGCCCACAAGTTCAAGAGCTGTGTCAGTCTACCCACCTGGGAACCACATGTACCAGCTGCAGTGTAGACATACCCTATGTTAGAACATTTATTTGAGCCATCCCATTGTGATGAACTGGCGCTATATCTGCACAACTTATGAATTCTGATTGATACTGTGAAGTCGTATTATGAAAATCTGCTCTGTCATGAGTGCCTATATGTATGTAGCTCCATCACTGCTGACAAGTCAGGACTTGTCACACCAGACAGAGATACAATGGAGCAGTCTTAAACTAAAGACCCTATTCAAGCACAAACACCTAAACAGTGGGTGAGATGCATCCTTAGAAAACCATTTTTAGCTTAACTCCTCTGAAGGGAAGCAGAAGGCAGGAGCATTGGAAAGTTATCCAAAAGACAGAACAAAGGAAGCCAGGTGGGTTTAAATAAAGAGCCACACGGGAACAAGGGGGCAATAAAAGAAGTGAAAGCATGGGGCAGGACATAGCAAAGTCCCAGTGCTGCCAGTCCTCGTGATTTTGTCATGAGTCTCATGATAATTATTGTTTTCCTTAAAGCCCCAGCTCCTGGAGTCAAGTACATATGTGATGATTTCAGCCTTCATTCTTAAAGAAAAAGTAAGCTTCTAGTCCTTGTGGCTGTGGAGAAAGTTTCAAAATGTGACTCCAGTGCACTCTAAAGACTCAAAAAGCAAAAGGCAAATAAAAAGAACACCAAATCTATTATTTTACATAATCTTGTTATTTTAAAGCAAATCTCATGATTTTTGG